GTATAAGTAGGGGCATAGCGAGCAGATCGAGGGACGTGATCGTTCCCCTCTATTCAACATTGGTGAGGCCTCATCTGGAGTACTGTGTCCAGTTTTGGGCCCCACACTTCAAGAAGGATGTGGATAAATTGGAGAGAGTCCAGCGAAGGGCAACAAAAATGATTAGGGGTCTGGAACACATGAGTTATGAGGAGAGGCTGAGGGAGCTGGGATTGTTTAGCCTGCAGAAGAGAAGAATGAGGGGGGATTTGATAGCTGCTTTCAACTACCTGAAAGGGGGTTCCAAAGAGGATGGCTCTAGACTGTTCTCAATGGTATCAGATGACAGAACGAGGAGTAATGGTCTCAAGCTGCAGTGGGGGAGGTTTAGATTGGATATTAGGAAAAACTTTTTCACTATGAGGGTGGTGAAACACTGGAATGCGTTACCTAGGGAGGTGGTAGAATCTCCTTCCTTAGAGGTTTTTAAGGTCAGGCTTGACAAAGCCCTGGCTGGGATGATTTAACTGGGGATTGGTCCTGCTTTGAGCAGGGGGTTGGACTAGATGACCTTCTGGGGTCCCTTCCAACCCTTATATTCTATGATTCTAACGCATTCCAGTGTTTCACCACCCTCCTAGTGAAAAAGTTTTTCCTACTATCCAACCTTAACCTCCCCCACTGCAACTTGAGATCATTACTCCTTGTTCTGTCATCTGCTACCACTGAGAACAGTCTAGAGCCATCCTCTTTGGAACCCCCTTTCAGGTAGTTGAAAGCAGCTATCAAATCCCCCCTCATTCTTCTCTTCTGTAGACTAAACAGTCCCAGTTCCCTCAGCCTCTCCTCATAAGTCATGTGTTCCAGTCCCCTAATCATTTTTGTTGCCCTCCGCTGGACTCTTTCCAATTTTTCCACATCCTTCTTGTAGTGTGGGGCCCAAAACTGGACACAGTACTCCAGATGAGGCCTCACCAATGTCGAATAGAGGGGAACGATCACGTCCCTCGATCTGCTGGCAGTGCCCCTACATATACATCCCAAATGCCATTGGCCTTCTTGGCAACAAGGGCACACTGTTGACTCACATCCAGCTTCTTGTCCACTGTAACCCCTAGGTCTTTTTCTGCAGAACTGCTGCCGAGCCATTTGGTCCCTAGTCTGTAGCGGTGCATTGGATTCTTCCGTCCTAAGTGCAGGACTCTGCACTTGTCCTTGTTGAACTTCATCAGATTTCTTTTGGCCAAATCCTCTAATTTGTGTAGATCTCTCTGTATCCTATCCCTACCCTCCAGCATATGTACCTCTCCTCCTTCTGGCCTTGGAATCTATGAAATAGTCTGTTGAGGTTAAAAACAAAAACAAAGAAGGCCCACATGACTAATTTTTACTGCTTGGTATTATAAAATTCTCCCACACCCTCTCAAAGAAACAACTAATTTTGTGGGCTAAACTATCTGCTAGTGTCCTTTTTAACAATAAGATGAACAGAGTCCTCTTATGGCAAAACTACATTCACAGTGGTAACGTTTTCTAAACTAAGTTTAAAATTAGTTCATTAGGTTCAAAAGCATTACATTAGCTTAATGGCCTAAATAGAACAATATTGTAAATAAAAACAGCTTTTCTCTACAGGAAGAATGTTAAGAATGGCCATACTGGGTCAGACCAAAGGTCCATCTAGCCCAGTATCCTGTCTTCCGATAGTGGCCAAAGTGCATCGAGGTTCTTTAAAGTAAAGTAAAACATCACCTGGTGTCAACGAACAGTTCATGCAAAACTCTTCTCTGTCTATTGACTTCCTGAAATCTGGCCATAAAGTGTAAGTTTTGCAGTAACTATGGTAATGCTGAGGAGTAGTGTGTTTGGAAAGATGCAAACTAGGACTGATAGGCATTTCAACTATAAACTATAGGCATTTCAACATCCCCAGTGGTTATTTTCTGGTCTGGAAAGTAAGTCCCTTGCTGTAGCTGTTGAAACAGACCAGAGTTCCTGAAGATGCGAGCGTCATGTATCTTTCCCAGCCATCCCACGTTGTTGTTGGTGAAACGTCCCTTGTGATCCACCAGTGCTTGAAGCACCATTGAAAAGTACCCCTTTTGGTTTATGTACTCACTGCCTTGGTGCTCTGGTGCCAAGATAGGGATATGGGTTCCGTCTATGGCCCCACCACAGTTAGGGAATCCCATTGCAGCAAAGCCATCCACTATGACCTGCACATTTCCCAGAGTCACTTCCCTTGATAGCAGCAGCTCAGTGATTGCGTTGGCTACTTGCATCACAGCAGCCCCCACAGTAGATTTGCCCACTCCAAATTGATTCCCGACTGACTGGTAGCTGTCTGGCATTGCAAGCTTCCAGAGGCCTATCATCACTTGCTTCTCAACTGTGAGGGCTGCTCTCATCTTGGTATTCTTGCACTTTAGGGCAGGGGAAAGCAAGTCACAAAGTTCCATGAAAGTGCCCTTATGCATGCGAAAGTTTCACAGCCACTGGGAATCGTCCCAGACCTGCAACACTATGCGGTCCCACCAGTCTGTGCTTGTTTCCCGAGCCCAGAATCGGCATTCCACACCATGAAGCTGCCTAATTGACACCATGATGTGCACATTGCAGGGGCCCGTACTTTGTGAGAAGTCTATGTCCATGTCCTCATCACTCTCGTCACCGTGCTGCAGTCACCTCCTCCTCGCCTGGTTTCGCTTTTCTTGCAGGTTATGGTTCTGCATATCCTGCTGGATAATGTGCGTGGTGTTTATAGTGCTCATAATTGCCATGGTGATCTGAGCGGGCTTCATGTTCCCAGTGCTATGGCGTCTGTGCTGAAAAAAGGCACAAAACTATTGTCTGCCGTTGCTCTGATGGAAGGAGGGGCGACTGACAACATGGCTTACAGGGTTGGCTTTCAGGGAATTAAAATCAACAAAGGGGATGGCTTTGCATCAAGGAGAAACAGAATGGCCCCCTCAAGGATAGAACTCAAAACCCTGGGTTTAGCAGGCCATTGATTTCATGGAGGGAGGGAGGAGAAAATGAATACAAATGAATACAAAACAAATCTGTTCTGTTTCTTGTTTTGATCCACTTCATCTATCTTTATACATCTTGCTGGCAGCAGATGGTGCAGTACGACTAGCCATCGTCATTTCCTGGGTGCTCGGCAGAAGATGGTGCAGTATGACTCCTGGCCATCGTCATCTCCTGGCTGCTCACCAGAAGACGGTGCAGTACGAATGCTGGCAGGACTGAATCTCCATGAGATGAAACTTAAAAAGGGAAATGACCTGGCTGAGTCACTCCCATGTCTGCCCAGGCGCCCCTGACCGACCTCACTGAGGTTGGCTAAAAGAGCACCCAGGAGTATGGTGACGATGGCTACCAGTCATACTGCACCATCTGCTGCCAAAAGGCAATGAGCTGCTGCTGTGTAGCAATGCAGGTCAGCCCGCAAGGAGTCCGCTCAGCTCGCTGTCACCCTATGTCTCCTGGGTGCTGGCAGTGTCCCAGGTGGTATTTCGTACCAGGTGACATCATCACACTGTGAACGAGAAGCGGGCAGCAAATGTAAACAAATTTGTTTATCTGAGCGATTGGCTGAACAAGAAATAGGACTGAGACGACTTGTAGGCTCTAAAGTTTTACATGGTTTTATTTTTGAATGCAGTTATTTTTTGTACATAATTCCACATTTGTAAGTTCAACTTTCATGATAAAGAGATAGCACTACAGTACTTGTATTAGGTGAATTGAAAAATACTGTTTCTTTTGTTTCTACAGTGTAAGTACTTGTAATCAAAAATAAATATAAAGTGAGCACTGTATACTTTGTATTCTGTGTTATAACTGAAATCAATGTATTTTAAAATATGGAAAACACCCAAAAATATTTAAATAAATGGCATTCTATTATTGTTCAACAGTGTGATTAATTGCGATTAATTTTTTTAATTGCGTGATTAATCACGATTAATTTTTTTAATCGTTTGACAGCCCTAGATACCATGGATACATCCTGCCTCATTTGCTTCTGAGTTATAAACCTCAAGTCCAGAGATGTACAATTTAGTCAAGGGGTCCTAAAGAGGGATATCAGAAGACAGTCCAACAGTTATTCACTGTGGTAAAAGAAAAGAATAATATAATTTCATGATCTGGTTGGGAGAAATATCTTCAATATTTCCTCTCCATAGAGAGGATGCCTGTTGTAGCATTTTGGGATTCAGTACCACTGGTCAAGAACTTGCAGCAGAGAGAGAGAAAAATATTTGGTCTTGTATTAAGAGTACAGCTATGTACCATCAGCTAGTCATTTGTAATTCATTCTCCTAGTTAGTTTTAATGATATACATATTATTATATGGCAGTGGTTCTCAAACTTATTTGATCAGGCCCCCCCTTCTTTGTGTCTGTAGTCGTTTACGCCCCCTCTTCCTCCACAAGTACATATACCGCCACTGAGCTCTGAAGGCAAATGGAGAGAAGCAGCTGCTGGCTGGGTGCCTGCATGTAGCTGCCTTCAGAGCAAGCAGCAGCATAGAAGTAAGGGTTGCAATGTGAAAAGTGATATTAATCAATGGCACTTTTCACAGCAGACTTAGCATCCCATTGCCACCCTTCTGTGCTCCTGCTGCCCCCTGGAGCTGACAGCTGAAGCTTTGCCGCCTCCAGGTGCGGGACGGGGGAAGTGGGAGAAGGAAGGAGAGCCTGAGCCTGGGCTGCCTCCCGGTGAGGGATTGGGGGGGTGAGGATGGCAGGTGGAGGGGCTTCAGCTATCCCCTTTATCCCCCACCTCCTGGGTGTGCATGGCCCTTCTTCATGAGCCCCAGCTGGGACTGACAGCTAGGGCTCTTCAAAAAAAAACCAACAACCCAAAAAAGCATAAAGCTCACACCTCTCTTGATCCAGTCCCATGCCTCCCTTGGGAGGCCTGCTCCATAGTTTGAGAACTGTTGTCATGGTATTAGCCTTATGTATATTTTTCTTACCAAGAGATTTTTTTTCCTTCTTTTTTTGACCAGAACAGCCCCAGTTTTGCAACCTTCAGAATAGGCTGCATGACCTACCTGTTTACATAGGCTTTTCTTTGGGAGAGATGGACTTGCAAAGACTGAGTTGAGAAATTTTGTTTGGCGTTCAGACGATAGCAAACAGGTCTGTGTTTTATTTTCTTGTATGATCTATGGGTATAGGCCCTGTTTTAATTGCTTTATATGAATTTTGTAACATGCCTAAAACTGGACTATGGACAGTGAACAGATGTGAACTGGGGTCCTAGACAAATAACTTTTTAGTTTCTTCCACATCAATAGAGTGAGCTTTCCCCTTTACGAGGAGTGGAAGCTCATCTTCCAGCCTCTTGCAGCTCAGACGTGGGATATGGGTTGCAGAAGTAGAGGAGGGTTTTTGAAAGACTCAGCATCTACCAGCACTTCTCCATCCTAATGCCTCAAAATGTAGTGCTTAACAGTGGCTGCCTATGTAATATTCTTTAAATATTAGATATTTCTGTAAATTTTGTTTCTGATGTTAAACTCCGCAAAAAATCTTCTGGGGCAAGGTCTGTCATATTCTAATGCATGCCATAGCATCAGTTTATTAAAGTGTCTCATTGATCATATGGCATTAAAAGGAGACCAGATTAAACCATATTTCATACATAGATTCTCCAGTCTACATTCTTGCTTATTATTGATGAGATGCCTCGGAGTATCTTTGCTTTTCCAATCAAGTCTGGTGGGTTTATTTTCCTTTTAAGTAAATTTTGAAATTACTTCAGATCTGAGCGTTAGGGGAAGCCTAATAGATTGGACTCAGAAACAGGAAAATATATTTTTTCAAAACAGACCAGGCTGTGTTTTGTGTGACTATTCCATAGCAAATATGGCAATTGTTTTGAACACAGTAAGCTTTGATGTAAGCCAAAGGGGAGTGTCTCATCTCTTTCTGTTGTAAACTAAAAGAGGTGATGTTTCTTCTGAGAATGAGAGGCCTACTTCAGCAGCAGCTAGAAAGAACAGGATAGATATTATAGATGGGAATCTGGCCGTAGACTACCAATGTCTACGTATTACCTTTTGAGATATTCTTGTATATTTTCGATTCCATGTGAATTTCATGACGGTTTATAGCCTTAACAGTTTTAGATTAGTTCTTTGAAAAATGTACTAGAAGCAAAGTTTTCCTTAGGCCAATGTTTGTTTACTTATTTATTTAGGTTTCTAAATGAGAAATGTCAGAGGCACTCATCCTAGCACTGGGTGCTCCTTCCAATATTTAAACTGTACAGTAATCATGCTGATCTGCTTCTATCCACTGTTGCCTACCTACAGAGTCATAATCCCCTTCCTCCTTATAACTTTTATACCATGATAATTAAAAATCCTGTCCAACCCTTATCCTGTCCTTATTCCAAGAAGAAAGATAAATTTTGGTGTGTATCCAGAAGAGTTATCAAATTGGATTGCATTCACATTGACTGTGGTGCCAATGGACCTTATAAGAACCTAAAATTCCTGGCACTGCTGGTCCAGGGAGAAAGTCAGGAGGTCCTCATGAAAATTGCCCTTCCAGCAGTGATTTTCGAGTGAGGAAGTGCAGTAGAGGAAAGTTCACAAAGCAGCCTAGCTGTTAGTCCTGAAAGGTGCTAGTTAGGTCCTGAAAGGCTGCTCCCAGACTAATGTAAACTGCTGTGATCTTTCTAGATCATTTGGACTAGGTGAGAGACTTTAGGAGATTTTTATGATATAGTCCATGCTTTCATTGCTGCCACCAGTGCAGCTGCAATGTCTGTAATGTTGCTATTGATTTTTCCAGTGTAGACAAATTCTAGCAATGAGAATTTAGATCATTCCCATGCACATCTTTCATATGAAAGTTGCAGTCATATTACTGGGCAAGCTTTCCTTTTGAGGTGGGACAAAGAAGAATTATAAAGACAGTTTTATGTGATGGGGGGGACTCTGCCTAGGTTTTTTTCCTTTAGTGCATTAGTATGAACGCAGTCTGAAAATTGAAAGCTTTTAATTCTCATGGCTCTTGGTGCCAATAGTCAAAAATTCCAAATTAAAGAGATTAGCTGCAAGCATGACAGTTCCTGCAAACCGGCTAATAACCAGGAGAAAATGCAGTATATACTACAAATTCACATGACTTTGTTGTCTCAGTATCTTTTCTGATATTGCAACAATTACTCTTTTTTTCTAAATATAGTGAAACAAGTAATATTGGGGAGGGGAAATAATCTGTAAATAGTACAAATACAGGTAAAAAAAAGAAATTTCTCTCTTTCCAGCTGCCTCTGCCTTTTGTTTAGATGTACATTCTGTAAGTTTCCACTAGGGAATAATCTATTTGTATCTAGAGCAAGGAGGCAAAGAGTGCAACCCTCTAGTCACAAGCAAAACACAATGCAATCGTCTTTCTTTTTAGGAATAAAATCTAAGAAAAATACATGTAAATTGAGAAGCATTTTTTGAAGAGGGAGTCCTTTAAGCCCTGTTCAATTTTTCTTATAAACAAAACTATGATACCAAGAATACATCTTTAAAACCTGGTGCTTAAATATCCAGAGCGAAGGTGAAAATTCCATTCTAAATCTCCCGTATTGTGCCTAGACAGTACAATAGCTAGAAAACATTAGGGCAGAGGTTCTCACACTGTGGTCCGTGAGCTCCATTCAGGTGGTCCACGGATAGTTCCCTCTAAGGTGCACGCCTGGGTGGCTGCACATGAGAGGATGGAGGGCCACCCACCTAACTAGTGGAGCCGCGCAGGCGTGGCTCCACTAATTAGGTGCCTGGACCCTGGAGAAGACCCATATGTAAGGAGAGGTGGTGGCCTTGGGAGGAATAGGGGGTAGGTGGGAGGGGGCAGTGGGGTGAGAAGAGGGGGTGGGGGGAATTTGGGATGTGCAGGGCTGTAGCAGCCAGCGAAAGAGATGACTTTCCCCAGCTCCAGGGCTGCGGCTGCCGGGGAGAGAATCATAGAATCACAGAATATCAGGGCTGGAAGGGACCCCAAGAGGTCATCTAGTCCAACTCCCTGCTCAAAGCAGGACCAATCCCCAATTAAAGTTTGGCCTGGGTGACACCTCAACTCATGAGCCAGATTCAGAACTTGGTCCAAAATCTTATGTGGAACCCTGAAATTGTTTGTGTGTTTAGCACAGTGTACCCTCCAATCAGGGCCAAGGATTATTAGGTTTTGAAAAGTGCAGAAGAAAATGTGCATGATATATTAATCATTATCTGCACAAGGACTTACAATATACTTCACTGGAATATATTTTTATAGTCCAACTAAAACTTAAAAAGTTGGGGTTGAGAATGAAATCTCTGAAAGAACTAGAAATGGAACCAGAACCAGAATACTGAAGACCAAATACCATTAAGTTTTGGGGAAGTTTGGATATGAAACAAAAATGTGAAGCTTAGTTTTACTTCTAGAAAGATTCTAAGGGTATGTCTACACTACAAAATTAGGTTGAGTTTCTAGATGTCGATTTTTCAGAAGCGGTTTTATACAGTCGATTGTGTGCGTCCCCACTAAGTGCAGTAAGTCGGCGGAGTGCGTCCACAGTACCGTGGCTAGCGTCGACTTTCGGAGCGGTGCACTGTGGGTAGCTATCCCACAGTTCCCACAGTCTCTGCTGCCCATTGGAATTCTGGGTTGAGCTCCCAATGCCTTCGCATCAATGGTGAATGGTTCCACTGCTTCCGCTGCAACTCTGCTATCCTGATCTGCTGCAACTCTGCAGCAGACGGTGCAGTAGGACTGATAGCCGTCCTCATCAGTGGTGTTTTGCTCGCTCCACGCTTCTGCTGCCACTCTGCTATCCTGATCTCCTGCGAGCTGGAGGCGTCTGCCTCAGGCTGCTCTCCCAGCCGGCAGCACCACGCGGTTGGACCTACTTCATCCTATCCCTTGCTCCCATGGCCCATGAAGCCTGGACAGTAGTAAGGAGCTCAACTATAGGCTGAACAAGTGCAGAATGGTGGTAGAATGTGCCTTTGGACGTTTAAAAGCTCACTGGCGCTGTTGGTCAGACCTCAACGCAACCAACATTCCCATTGTTATTGCTGCTTGCTGTGTGCTCCATAATATCTGTGAGAGTAAGGGGGAGACATTTATGGCGGAGTGGGAGGTTGAGGCAAATTGCCTGGCGGCCGATTTTGAGCAGCCAGACACGGATTGGAAGAGCACAGCAAAGCGTGCTACGCATCACAGAGACTTTGAAAACCAGTTTCATGACTGCCAGGCTACGGTGTGACAGTTGTGTGTGTTTCTCCTTGATGCAAACCTGCCCCCTTTGTTGATTTTAATTCCCTGTAAGCCAACCACCCTCCCCTCCTTCGAAATAAAGTAACTATTGTTTTGAAACCATACATTCTTTCTTTATTAATTTTAAAAAAATTGAGATAACAGACAAGGTAGCCGTGGGTGGTTTTGGGTACATGTCGTCAGTGACCATTCCCTCCCTTCCTTCATGAAAGCAACAGCAGACAATCATTTCTTGCCGTTTTTCCTGGATTGCCCGCGCATACACTATAGCACTGCAAGCAGGAGCCCGCTTCAATCACTGCTGCAGTTGTGAGGATTGTAAACACCTTGCATTTACCCTTGGAGATTTTGGCATATATATTGGCATTATGTCTTTTGGAACGGAGTTCTGATAGCACGGATTCTTCTCCCCATCAGATCCAGTTCCTCCCGTTCAGTCCATGCTAGAGCTCTTTTGCGATTCTGGGACTCCATGATCACCTGTGCTGATGAGCTCACCATCCTGGCCAAAGAGGAAATGAAATTCAAAAGCTCCCAGGGCTTTTCCTGTCTACCTGACTAGTGCATCTAAGTTGAAAGTGCTGTCCAGAGCCGTCACAATGGAGCACTCTGGGATAGCTCCCGGAGGCCAATACCGTCAAATTGCGTCCACACTACTCCAAATTCGATCCAGCGATGTTGATTTTAGTGCTAATCCCCTCGTCAGGGAGGAGTACAAAAATCAATTTTAAGAGCCCTTTAAGTCGACAAAAATGGCTTCATAGTGTGGATGGGTGCAGGGTTAAATCGACCTAATGCTGCTAAATTCGACCTAAACTCGTAGTGTAGACCAGGGCTAACAGTTCTTTCAGTCTATCCTTTAAAATGCATTG